AGTTCAATGGTTTTGAAACTATTTCATAGAGTTGTACCACCATCATCACATCTAGTTTGAGAATACTTCATCATCCTCAAAAGAAACGTACTCATTAATAGTCACTCCCCATTACCACCCCCACAAACCTTGGGCCTAGAAAATCACTAATCTCTGCCTGGATGGATTTGCCTATTCTGGATGTACTATATAAATGGGTTCATAAAATATGTGGCCTTTTGTGACTGGCTTCTTTCATTCAGCATAATATTTTCAAGTTGCACCTATCAGTATTTCACTCCTTTTTATGGATGAATAATACCTTATTATGTAGGTAAACATTTTATTTATCCACTCATTAGTTGTAGACATTTGGGTGCTTTCTACTTTTTGGCTATTGTGAATAATGCCACTATACACATTTACATGCAAGTTTTTGTATAGATTCATGCTTTCTGTTCACTTGGTTATATACCTAGTATTGAGATTGTTGGATCCCATGGTAACTATATCTTTAGCATTTTGAGGAATTGCCAACTGTTGTCCAAGGCAGCCACACCATTTTATATTCCTATCAGTAATGTATAGGGGTTCCAATTTCTCCACATTCTCCTACATAAAATGTGCCTCTTCCAAAGTAAAGCTGTCATTATTCATAAATGGTCTGATTGTATCTGCAGAAAATACAAGAATACACAAATAAATTATTAAGAAGTAAATTTAGTAAAGTCACTAGACACAATGTCAATTCTATGTATGTCAGTATTCAATAATTGTACATAGATCTAAAAATATAATACCATTTATAATATAATACCATTTATAATATCATTTAAAAAGTCAAATCCTAGTGGCATTTAGGTGGCTCAGTTAAGTGTCTGCTTTCAGCTTAGGTCATGGTCTTGGGGTCCTGGGATCAAGTCCCATGTTGGGCTCCCTACTCTGAGTAGTGCCTGCTTCTCCTTCTGCTTGTTCTCTTTCTCTCTCTCTCTCTCTCTCTCTCTTATGCATGCTCTTTCTCTTTCAAATAAGTAAATAAAATCTTAAAAAAAAAAGTCAAATCCTAGAAATAAATCTAATGAAAGATATGCAGGACCATTACATAGAGAACTAGAAAGACATTATTGAGCAAAATTTATTAAATTCTTAAGTAAAATGTAAGGCCACATCAAGGCCATAGATTAGAAAACTCAATTTTGTAAAGATGTCAATTGCATCAGATTCGATTCACTCTCAATAAAAATATGAGCAATTTGTATGTGTGTGTGTGTATTCACAGTCTGATTTGAAATGTCTATGTGGAGGGCAGCCCGGGTGGCTCAGTAGTTTAGCGCTGCCTTCAGCCCAGGGCATGATCCTGGAGTCCTGGGATCGAGTCCCACATCAGGGTCCCTGCATGGAGCCTGCTTCTTCCTCTGCCTGTGTCTCTGCCCCTCTCTGTGTGTGTCTCTCATGAATAAATAAATAAATAAATAAATAAATAAATAAATAAATAAATAAATAAAGTCTAAAAAAAGAAAAAAAAAGAAATGTCTATGTGGAAATGCAAAAGGCCAAGACAAGATAGCCAATAATTTTGAAGGACAACGAACAAATGAGATGAATATCCTTTACTGAATGTCCAGATATATATTAAAGCTACAAAAATTAAGAGTGTGTGGTAATGGATTGGACATAACAAATACACCAACAAAGAGTCCAGAAGACAGACTCACACATGTATGAATTGCCTGATAACAGCAGCAGCAATGTATAGTAGTAAGAGAAAGACACTGTAGAGTTGTAATGGAAAACTAGGTCAACTGGAGTGTCATGTGAGGGGGAAAAAAAAAAAAAGAAACTTGATCCCTACCTCACTCCATACATAAAAATCAATTCCAGAGGGGTTGTGATACAAATATGAAATGTCAAACAATAAAGCTTCAAAATATCTTCTTGAAGAATATCTTGGCCTTGGGGTAAGGGTTGACTTCTTAAACAGACATAATAACACCGGCCATGCATAAATTGGCCGTAGATAATAGTCCATAAATTGGACTATCTTAGAAGTTCTGTCATCCCAAGACACTATTAGGAGAGGGAAAACACATGCTATAAAGTGGAAGATAATATAAATACAAAGATATACAAAGAACTACACAAATCAATAAGAAAAGGACAGTCAATAGGAAAACGGGCAATAGACAGGGACATCATAAAGAGTATATCCACATGGCTAAGAAACATATGCAAAGGTGCTTACTATAATTTTTCATCAAGTAAATATAAATTAAAACTATGATGAGATACTATAATACACCTACCAGAATAGCGGAGAGCTTGAAATACCAAATGTTGTTGAGGATGTGGAGTCTCTTATTTTACTGTTGATGATATAACAAACTATCACAAATTTAGGGACTTAAAGCAACTCAAATGTATTCTCTTACAGTTCTGTGGGTCTGAAGTCTGAAGTCTGACACAAGTCTCACTGGGATATATCAATGCTTTAGCAGGGCCGTTTTCTTTTCCAGACGATTTACAGGAAAATTTGTTTCCTTGCTTCTTCTAGTTTCTAGAGACCTCCATTTTTCTTGGCTCGTGTGTTCTTCTTTCATCTTCATAGCCAGCAGCATTATCTGTCTATGACCATCCCCTCCATGGTCACATCTCCTCTGACTTTCTTCCCCTCTCTTCCACATTTTAGGACTCATGTGATAACATTGGGCCCACCTGTATAATCCAGAGTAATCCCTCTCTGTCAAGATCCTTAGTTTAATCATAACTGTAAAGTCCCTTCTGCTATGTAAAGTAATATATTCACAGATTCTGGGAAGTAGGACAATGGACACCTTTACAGGGGGACCATTATTCCACCACATAGAGTGACACAACTTTCATACAATATTCTTGGAGATTTGGTTCAACCACTTTAGAAAATAGTTGGCAATATTTACTAATGCCAAACACACACAGAATCTATGATCCAGCAATTTCACTCCAAAAGATATGTACACATTATGTACACCATTATTTGTAAAAACTCCCAATTTAGAAAATACCCAAGTGTCCATCAGCATTCAGGATGGATAGGCAAAGTTGTGGTATATTCATATCATGAAAATACTATACAGCAACAAAAATGAATGAGCAAGTGTCACCCATTGTAAAATGAGTGACTCACACAGATGTAACATTGATAGAAGCCAGAGAGTGAAGCATACATTCCATATGATTCCATCTGTTTAAAATTTAAAAACAGGCAAAACTAGTCTTTGGTGTTTGAAGTCAGTTTATTTATTTTTTTACTTTATAAATAAATCATATTTTAATCACCTGGCTTTGTTCAATCCACAAAAATCACATTCAGAGCTTTTTCTAGTCTGTCTTTCCTAACCATGTGACCTGATGTATTTTTTGGAACCCTTCATGTTTTGAGAAGAGCATTCTGCCTTTCATTTTGCAATCCCAGAGCCAACTTCCCTTATATTCTTAATAAATAGCTAATGTCACCTCAAAGAAACAATGATGGGATGGTGATCAACTACCGTCTCAAAGACCTTCACAATAGTTAAAAGAGGGGAAAAAAGAAAAGGAAGAGGGAAAAAAAAGAGTCACCAAAGCAAGGTAACTGCTAAAGTTGCCTGTGATGATGGCTCTTCCTGAGTGCTCCAGTCACTGAAACCTTCCCTCCTGGTGGCTGCCCTGGTCCAGAACCTGAGACATTCCAGTCTTCCCGCCGTTCTTTCTGAAGTACTTAGAAGGCGGTGCACAGACCGGCATCTGAAACTTGTTTCTGCTGGTAACCGAAGGAGTTCACAGTCCATGGTAGGCCAGGGTTAGTTCTTAGCCAGCACCATCCAGTCAGTCTAGAGCCATGGGGCACCAGTCCAGAACCACCACGGTGAAGGTTAATGGCGTGCATTACCAAGTATCTACAAACACAGAAATAGGGATTTTTATTTGCTCTCTTTCCTCCCTTCCTTTGGAAACGTTCCCTCTGGCAATCAGTTCCCCTCAGGCTGCCCCTGCCTCGTCCCCCCAGCCCTGGAAGTAGCATAGGTCCTTAGAGCTTCACTGCCTAACCATTCCCATCCTTTCCTGGCTCACCCACACTGCAGTATGACTGTTTTGGCAGTGATCTGTTTGGCTCTCAGAGACAAAGAGGGGGGAAACTGCCCTGTTTTGAGGCTATGAAGTGTGATGGCAAAGCTCTGACATCTCAAGAGTTCTAAGGAAGAACAGTTTCTTCTTGGTGCGACTAATGCAAAAGCCTCCGGTTACGATCACATACTGCTTCAATGGCCCAGAACAGGGAATTCCTGAAGTTCCCTTCTCTCTCTTAAACAAAAATCCCTACCTGTGTCCCCACAACAGCAATCCAGCAAGGTAGATGGGTTTGTTTTATCTCTATAGCAGAGGAGGACACCTTTGCCTCCTCTATCATCGTCAAAAAATTCATACTTGTTTCTCAACAGCTTCTAGTGTGAGCTGAGACCCTCTATTTCAGATGAAATGTCCAGAGGCATTTTTCAGCTATAGACTAACCTGAGGGCCCCACCTCGACTACAGCACAAATCATATCAGCAGCTGCTCCCTTTCCTGCCATCGAAAGCACCGAAGCTCAGAGCAGCAAGCTCCCTGAAAGCAGAAAATCCAGAAGCCCGAGGAAAGGTAGCACGAGCTCCTGATCTGCAGTAATCGAGTGTAACTGCAGAAGACATTACATAAAAGGCGGACCTGGAATGGTGTGGTGGCCTTCTCTTTCAACTTGGGCAAATCACACAGGCTGCTGAGCTTCATCTCACTCCTGTTCCTGGAAAAGATGTATTTGAAAAACTCTCACTCCTTGTTGTCGTTGTAGTCCTCACTCTCTTAAAATATACCAAGGGAGAAAAGTCCTACTATCCCCTACTAAAAACTAAAAGTAAGGGGGCCCCAGAACTAAGTCAGGTGGCCAACATGATGATGGGAAGTTCAGCAAAATAGAACTGGGTGGAGCAGGGAAGTATCTCAGGCAGTCAGACCCTAGCATGAATCATTTAGTGTTCATCAGATGGAAGACCTTCAATTTCATCTCTGTCTCCCCCAACTGCCACCCAGAAGGCTTGGGCCACCTTTCCTGCATGCAACTTTCTTTGCTCATGAGGGAGCATTGCACCCTTGTCTTTCATTTCCTTTAACTTTGTGAAGAGTCTTTCAAAATTCTCCAAATCTCCTCCACCAGTAGTAAGACTGGCTAATTCTTGAATATCCAGATCTAACAAGGGATCCACGATGCTATCAGCCTGAGCGTCTGTTGTGTTAGAGGCACCACCCTGATGCTCCAAGAGGGGTTCAGTCCTAGCAGGTGCTGGCAAATGGGGCTGCTCTGAATGACACGTCTCTGCTGACCCAATGCTATGGTTTGCTCCAGCCAATGAGCTAAGAGAGCTAAAGCCTTGGTTCCTGTCATTCTTCATCGCTACATTGGACCACACGTATGCATTCAAGGCTTGAACGATTCGCTTTATGCCTGTAGATTCTGGGAGGTCATCCTCCTCCTCAGGCAACTCGTCTGGACTGAGTGCTACCAATTCAAAGCCATGTTTGATACACCATTCTTGAGCTTTTTGCCGGTTTACACCATTTCCGCACACTCTGTCACAGACCAAGATCATGACTACAGGTAACCATGCTTCTGCCAGCGGAAGCCATGAAGAAACACTATCAAGACCAGATTTTTGTGTGCTGTCAAAGTAAACCACAAATGCTTGGACAGACTCCATGATTTCTGCAGTGATTAGAAATTTGTTTGGCACCACACACAGATTGGTACCTGCTGAATAGTATTTACTATCAATGGTCCAGGGATAAAACCTCATGGCATCATCGGCAGTCACTTCCACAAGAAGATCCTCTGGTCTGAGGTTATGCTGGACCAGCTGGTGTCCAGAGAAGGTGGAGGAGCAGCTGGTGACAAGCACACAGGGGGCAGCCATTGCTCTAGAAGTCAGTTTAGAGATAATGGGGAGGGGTTTGGGGGGGGGATGAGTGGATAAAATTAAAAGGATTTGAGCAGGGCTTCTGGGTGTGGGAAACGTTCCGTTTCTTAACCTGAGTGAAGGTTGCAGATGTGTGAACTCCCTAATAATTTTTCATGCTTTATGTTACGATTTGGGTTTTTTTTTTCTGTTTGGATGTTTTATAAAGAAAATGTATCCTTAACTCAATTTGATTATTTAGTAACTATTTTGTCTTTTCAACCTGTTCTTCCATGAGCAAGGTAAACTTTTCTTTTCTCCAGGCTAATTAAAGAAACCATCACACCTCCTTGTTTTTTATTCCTCCATCTGTTCTCTTTTACCTCTCATTTCTTCCCTTCCCTGCTGTCTTTAGCCCTGTGTCCCTCAGCTGCCCTGTTGGATGCCCAGCCTCTCCCTGCACCTGCTTGCCCCTTGGGCGTTAAGCATGGGTCAAAGTCCCCAGGCCTGGGCCTGGAGAGAACAGGGCATCTTACACTCCTCGTGGGATCCCTTCATGTTTGCCGGACTCGCACACACAAACCCCCCCAGGGCGGGGGGTGTCAGCAGGGCTCCAGCTTAGATCCTGCTCTGCAGCTCCATGTCTGTGGATCTTGAGCAATTGCTTCACCTCTTTCTATTTGGTTCCCAAGTTTGTGAAAAGGCAAACTTTTTTATAAGATAGAAGTGCCTTTTTCATGGATCACTGTGAGGCCTGGATGGGTGAGTACCCACGAGGTGCTGAGAGCGGCTGCCACATGGTGAGAACTCAGTAAGTAAACTCAACAGAGAGTCTAGTAAATAGTCACCCATTATGAGCATCTGAAATTACTGAGGTAAGGAGTAACGTTAGTAGCTCTAGCTGAGTTCCAATAAACTTTGCCTCTGATTGCTTTCTTTTTTAACTATCATTGCTCTTCAGAAAATGGAAATGACAGCCCCCCAAATTTAATGGCACTCAGGCCTGGGATCCCCACGTTCACAGAGCTCTCATTTCTATCTTTCAGCTGTTTTAGAGATAAATAATGCATAACTCAGGGATGCAATGGCATTCGACTACAGCCTTGGGGCTCAGCCCAACTCTGCTATTTAACTTCGACTTTGCTTTCAGCCTCTGGAAGGCTAAACGGCCCAGTGCTTCCGGAGCAACTTTTCGAGAATCCCTGAGATACTGCTTCTCAGCGATCAAGTATATGCACAGGTTCCCAAGCATCTGATCAGTGTGACAGTGATACTAATGGCAATAACCGTGGCCTGGACTTGTTATTATCTGAAGATACCCTCTCAAATATAATTAAGCATTCTAAATATAACTTGGAGGAAAATCTCCTTACGTACTTCCTGTGTTGAAATTCCGCCAATGAAAAGTGCTCCATAAATTTATAATTGCCAGAGTAAATGCTGCAATATTCATGAATATTGTGAAATCTTTAAATGAGAGTGTTTTAGATAGTTAATTTTAGAAAGAACATTATATATTTTTGGAGCCAAGAAATCTCATAAAAATTTAATTACTGAGGCGCCTGGAGGCTCAGTCGGTTAAGTGTCTGCCTTGGGCTCAGGTCATGATACATGATTGAACCCCACGTCAGGCTCTCTGCTCAGCGGGAAGCCTGCTTCTCTCACTCTGCCTGCTGCTCCCCCTGTTTGTGCTCTTTCTCTATCAAATAAATAAGCCAAATCTTAAAAAAAAAAAGTTTAATTACTAACATAAGGTAATAGGATAGAGATTATATCATGATTCCAATCTTTTCAGAATTGTTTGTTGTCCTTGCAATTCTACCACTAATCAAAATAATCTGTAACAACTGCATTTGATTTAGGTTACAAATATTCTCTTTGGGCCAAGAGGCTTGTTAAAAAAGGTTCTATTTGAAAATTCTTTATATCTCATGAGACTGGTATTAAAATCATAATGTCAACTTGGCCATCTCGAATTCCACAACGAAAAATAATTCCAAAACAGCATACAATAAATCCACGACAAGCTATCTTTAATCCAAATAGGTACAGTGAAGTGTGTCAATAGTAGGAAGAAAAGAAATATTAGAGGGGCACCTGGGTGGCTCAGTCACTTTGAGTGACTGACTTGGTTTCAGCTCATGTCATGATCTCAGGGTCCTGAGATTGAGCACTGTGATGGGCTCCAAGGTCATCCAGGAGTCTGCTTGACACATTCTCTCTCCCTTTCTGCCTGTCCTCCAGCTCACACATGTGTGCTCTCTCTTTCTCTCTCTAAAATAAATAAAATCTTAAAAAAAAAGAAAATTAGAGAAAAGCTAGGTATCTCAAATACATTTTGTTCCTTCGAATAAACTTAAAAATAGATGTTGTAAGACCACTTAGAATAAAACCATTCTTTATAGATTTGAGCCAATAGAAACTAAACATGAAAATATAAAGCTTGCTGGGGTACCTGGGGGGCACAGTTGGTTAAGCACCCGACTCTTGGATTTGGCTCGGGTCCGGATCCCAGTGTTGTGAGATCGAGCCTCCCCCGGGGCTCTGCGCACTCAGTGGGGTGGGGGTGGGGGTGGAGTCTGCTTATACTTCTCTCTCCCTCTGCCCCTCCCACATGTGCTTTCTCTCTCTCTCTCAGATAAATAAATCCTTAAAAAAATATGAAGCTTGCCAGATGTTTACTGTGGTCTGTCAACTATTTTTTGGTAACTGAAGATAAAGGATATTTTTGAGATTTTCCTAGGTGCACAGTTCCTGTGATAAAAGTCAGTCCTGAAAACCCAATTATATTCTGTCGTTCATAAAAGATTAATGCCATTTGTTCAATGTGCTGGTGACAGTTTAGTCACGTGAATGTGTGGCAAAGCACCTGCAAATGTGATCTCACAGATGACAGCATTGATAAATTTTGTTCCTTCACCGTAATGTCAAACTTTAAAATATTGGTTACTAAAATATTTAAGGGTCAAATTATAATCCTAATTAAATTGTTGATAACATATCACTTATTTTAATACTTAAACACAGGTTTAATCTGTGATGATGACATTTAGCTTCTGCTTCAGCTTAGAGTGAATTTGGAGCTCTCCCAGCTTTGGCTGGATATGGTTTTTAAGATTTGGTTGTTTGGTGTTTTGCCATGAAAACTATTCAGTGCACTGCTCAAATGTAGGTAATGAATAAGTTCGACTTGCCTATGGTTTCTTTATATTTTTTATATTTTTCCTCAATATGTCCCAAATCGATATGGGTTGACAAGGGACACTGGCCTGTAATAAGATGAAAGTATTTTTATATATATTAAAGAATTATAAGAAATGAGTTCCCCTGAATTCCAGTAAAAATTATTTATACATTTTGTGGGCAAAGGACTTGGATATTTTCCCCAAAAAGATACAAATGGCCAATAAGTACACAAAAGGGTGCTCATTATCACAATTATTAGGAAAATATAAGTCAAAACTACATGATGGGGATCCCTGGGTGGCGCAGAGGTTTGGCGCCTGCTTTTGGCCCAGGGCGCGATCCTGGAGACCCGGGATCGAATCCCACGTCGGGCTCCAGGTGCATGGAGCCTGCTTCTCCCTCTTCCTGTGTCTCTGCCTCTCTCGCTCGCTCTCTCTCTGACTATCATAAGTAAAAAAATAAAAATAAAAATAAAAAAATTAAAAAAAAAACACAAAACTACATGATGTATCACTCTATACCCATTAGAATGGCTATTATTTAAAAAAAGAAAAAGAAAAAATAACAAGCATTGGCAAGGATGTGGAGAAACTAGAACCTTCATGCATTTCTGGCAAGAACATACAATGGTGCAGCTGCTATGGAAAACAGTATGGTGGTTCCTTGAGAAATTCAACATCGAATTAGCATATGATCCAGCAATTCTGGGTATGAAGAAATGAAAGCTGGGACTCAAACAGATATTTGCACAACTATATTCATGGTAGCATTATTCACATTAGCCAAAAAGTAAAAGCAACCCAAGTGTCTGCTGATGGATAAATGGACAAACAAAATGAGTTAAACACACACACATGTATGCATGCACACATATCCTCCATACACAATGAAACATTATTCAGCCTTAAAAAGGACATTCTGACACATGCTACAACATGATGAAACTTGAGGACATTATTTAAATGAAATAAACCAGTCACAAAGGACAGCTGCTGTATGATTCCACTTATGTGAGGCAGAAAATAGAATGCAGGTTGCCAGGGCTTGAGGGGGAGCAGGGAATGGGGAGTAAGCATTTCATGGGTAGAGAGTTTTAGTTTGATGGTTGCACAACAATGTGAATCTACTTAATCCCGGTGAATTATATACTTAAAATGGTATATTTTAGGTTACATATATTGTATCACAATAAAAAATCATTTTATATTTTAGATATTTCTGTGTTATACATGCTTATTTGACTACAACGGGCAGGGTGAGGATGAGGTTTTCCTGAGAAGTCAATGGGCAAAAGAACATTGATCAAGATGCTTTGACTTTGCAGATAAAGCATTTTCCTAGTGCACCAGGAGGATATAATAGAAAAAGGCATTTCTTTGAAAGATCTGATGTCCCCACTAGTCAGTGGACCAGGGTCCACAATTGGGAGCCAAGCTGGGACAAATACACTACTTTACATGGTCCAGGATTAGGAGTCTTGGGGTGAGAGGTGGGGGATACACACCAGAGCTTTGAAGGAAGTCCCAAGGTGAAAAACTGGGCACGTGTCAAGTCCAAGTGGACTTTGTATCAAAGGGGAGGTAAGTCCAGAACTGGATGAGATATGAAAAAGTGAGAGCTAATACGCCTGACCATGTCTGTGGTGTATGTCACGGTACTGCTTGACTTTTTTCATAATTCTAGAAATGAGGAAGATATTGAGATCAATTTTTGGAATGCGACTGGGGTGCTGTGAGTAAAAGGGACCTCATCAACTATTCACATGGTTAGACATGTCAGACAGGTCGTTTCTTTTTACCCATAGTCCTGTATTCAAATGCAGGTCATCTTAG